TCCAACTGTCTCCACCCGAATACTAGTCAAGAAATTGCCGCTGCACTTGATAAGGGCAAAGAACAAAAATGTTCCGAATAGTTACTTCTTTTAGGTAATTTATTCGTTATTCCCAGATGTCGCAAAGAACGCCTGTGCTTTGCTTGCTGAATGCTTCAAGAGACCTGTAGTAATGTCTACCGTGATAACGGTAGTAGATAGCCTAATGGTAAGCTGCCCTTCGCAGCTCAAGGACAACAGAAACTAATTACGGAGAACGTAAACAGAGTGCTGGTTGGGTGCACGCCTGCTCAGTAAGGAATGTTGCTATGACCTTAATGACGTGTCGTACGTACGCCTTTAAACCTACAACCTGATTAAAATATTTGTTGTCTAATCAAGATAGGCCTACTGCTAACGCTCCACCGTGGTATCACGTCTGGGGTGTAATCGAGAGGTACCAGGTTCGAAACTAGATCGTTGAATGCTTGTCTTGAGTTTTTCGTGATTTTCCTCATGTTTGAACGAAAGTAAGGTCTTCCTCTTTAATAAAATCCTTTCGGGTTGTCAGCCGTGTCAAATGGTTAAAACTCACTGACTTTTCAGGGTCATTTCTGTCCCCATCTTCAGGCATTCCTCTGCGCATTTGATGACGTCACGAATACGACATCTTGCGCTCAAAATCGGAAGGAAGCAGTCATCAGGTACAGGTGTTGGTTTGCTGTTGTTAGCGAGCAAGTGTAAATGCTAATACATTGAAATGTAGAGATTCTATAAAAACATTTGTAATGCAAATTTGTGCAGTTTGCGTCCGAAACAAAGGCATACATATAAATATTGTTGAATATTTTGGCATTACGCTCTAAAATTAGTAGCAGTGTTTACGATCTACCTCCATACTGAATTTAAAATGATTGTCTCCAGTGGTTCATTAATTTTTCATACTGAGCTATACAACCTCTATGTTGTTGTTTTGCATTCTACAAAAGAATTAGGCTACCTCAATAAGAGTTGCAGAATCGTTCATTAAGAGGCGTTAGTGTTGTGATGAATGATGTTACTACTGCTCAAAGGAAACTGAAAATGTGAGGTTGGTGGCACCTGTAATGGAATGACGATTGTAAAGAATGAGCTGCGGACAACAATGTCGCAAGTAAAGCTCTCTGTGCTAAGCATCATGTGCATCTAAGGTGACAAACTTCGTAGCTTATCTTTTGAAAATATCGTAATTGACTTTGCTATACAAAAATCAAGGAAAATTATATTTATATTTTAATTAATCTGTTATGCTGTTGTCATTATTATCATTACGAAGTAATGTTTTCGCCACATCAGTTTCATATTAATTTTTTAACTTTCAACCATTCAGTCCGAATAACATTTTTTTGGGCATAGTTCGGCCATGATTATGCTGTAGCTCAGACTGTTTTAACTCCTTTTCAAAAATTAAACCATCTATTCTTCTCCTATCCAATTTCTCAGATACTTGACTGGTATGTTCATTATGAAATTTATGAGTAAATCATTTTTACAAACCTAAATAATGTTAAGAATTCAGTCCATGCTGACAACACTTCACCATTACAACCATAGACTAATTAATGTTTAGGGAATAATCCTTGTTATCACTGAGAACCTTACGGAACACATAAATACAAAATGCAGCCTTACTGATTGTTAAAGCGAACGGTACCTATAGTTACCACTCGACTTTAGAGGATTATGTGTGTGTTTGCGGTGTATGTATATTTTATATTTTTGAAGGTTTGGGAAATATGTAGTATGGTATTTAATTTATCATAGAGGCAACATTTTATTTATTATGAAACGCTTCTTGACAAAAGTTTCGTCAGGTAGATTGAAAGCAGCTTTGATTCTAATATTTGTAGCTGATTTGTGTTTGGTCATAAAGCGAAACAATGGAGAATTAGGTGGATGAAATGGAGACGAGACAGACTTGCAACTTATGGACACCAAATAAAGACTGGAGGTTCGGAGTTTAAAATAAATTGATGACTTGCTCTCTGTGAACAATCCAATATATTTTATTTAACTTTGAAATATTGTACAATTCTGGAAACGTTTTGAAAATTTTCATGTTTCTTTTTTTCAATTTTACAACAGTTTACGTAGTTTGCGGAATGTTGTTAGGTAATGTCACTCTCGTTTCCATGTGCAAAGCTATTCTGATTACGTAAAATTTATACAGAACACAGAAGAAAGAAATTGTAAAAACTCTTTATTAGTCAACAAATTGTAGAAGTTAATGAAGTTATCAGAATATGGAATTTAGGAGGATTAAAAACACGACAGGAAAGAAAGCCCTACTATATTTCTGGAAAAGATGAGCGTGTGTTAGTAGCATGTGAAATCGAGATTTGGACCTGCCTCTCCGTGCCTTTGTTTGTGGTGAAAATGTTGGTTAGCACACGAGGCTAAAACTGAAGATGTTCTGGGCGATTCATCCCATGTGTTTGGAGACGCCGTAATCAGACAGGGAATTCTTGTCGTAGAGACGACAAAATTAGCAGCATAAGGTCAGCAGGCCCCCCCCCCCCCTTCCAGTTACAGCTTAGCCAGAAAAAATAGTCTAGGTAACGCATCATTCTTCAAGACTACATGTTGAAGACGTTAATGGCCAATGTTGCACGAACAGTATTAATTCCGATCAGTTCAAATTCAAAGTCTGACAATGCATTTACTACGGTTGCTGGTAAAAGAGAAGCCCGGATTACCACATGTGGTGACAGATTCTACAGCAAAGGAGAAAATAAAGGATGTAATAGCTAAGCGTTGCAATGTTAGCTAAAAAGCCCTTTATATGTCTTGGTTCTACACAGATCCATATCTCATTGACAATTGTGCTGTAACGATGTGCACACCCAGTATCACGTTTGCAGTGTTGGATATCACTGTGGAGACTCTTCCTGATCTGGAAGCACTTGATTGTCTGACAATAAACTACTCGCTTGGCAACTTCAGTGTGGTTTCTATCAAACCGCAAAGACCACATCGAAAAAAGAAACAGTATACCAGACACGCATCAGTTGGATTGTTAGAGGGCCTTCGTATAGAAGACCTAGTGCTGGATAGAAATCCTATAAAGACGCTAATATGTAAATGATGTGAGGTAGAGGTTGTCAAAGTCGTTGAAGCTGGACGGATTTGACCTGCCTCAACAGATCCTGAATGATGTTAAGATTTACAGATGCTGGCAATTAACGATAGCTGCTTGTGTTCAGAAGAAGGCTTAAGATTCCAAGCTTCCAAATACACTGCATGTTCGTCATTTATTTGTCATTAACCTCTACGCCACAGTTTATCACGATTCTCCTG